TTAGGACTCAAAATGGCTTACAATTTAAAAGGAGAATAGAATCAAAAACGTACAAAAGTGAGCATTAAAAATATATTTAAAGTATTACAGTATTAAAACGCATCACTCAGTAAAATGTAATCCTAAATAGATTTGTTAGAAAAGAAGCGCCATTTAGGTCAGTGGGACCTACTTGTGAGTAAAACTTGTGAGCAGGATTGCACACCCATTTTGCAGATGTGGGAATGGAGTCTTTGGTTGCATCTGCACTGCAGAATTAATGCAGTTTGACACCACTTGAACTGCCATGGCTCCATGCTAGGGAAATATGAGATTTGCAGTTTTGTGAGATATTTAGCCTTCTCTGCCAGAGAGCTCTGGTGCCACAACAAATTACAAATCCCATGATTGCACAGGATGGAGCTATGAAAGTAGTGTCAAACTGCTCTATTTCTGCAGTGTGGAAGAGGTGTAGGAGAGGCTACAGCAGTTTGCTTTTGCCTGAGCCTCCTAGGAAGGGCAAGAGTCTGACATTTCCCCTGCCTTATTTTTTGGTGAGTTAACTGAGTGCAAACTTTTTTTGTGCTTTAAACTCAGTTTGCAGCAACTGAAATAAGCTGAGGACAAAGGGGGAAAGCAGGAGGAAAAACCAGGACATTTTAAATGCAGCTGGAAAATGGGATGGCAGCGGATTAACCAGGACTGTCCCTGCCAAATCGGGACAGTTGGAAGGAAATGAAACGGAGGGGATTTGTCCTTAGTTTTCTGGGTTTGGCTCTGATATTTCAGGACCTGGGATAGTTCTGTCTTGGGTACCCTGTTCCCAATATCATTCCTTCAGTCAGTCATAATTTATTATGGTCCAATCAAAATATACATATCATCAAATCCCCCAAAATAAAATTGCCCACAATAATACAAGAGTTGAGGAAGTTGCTAAATCTAACTCTTATCTAACTCAAACTCTTAACTGTCCCTTTTATACATAGTGGGTTCTGATCCTAGCTGCCTCAGAGACAAATTTGGCAAGTACAAAAGTGACATTTGGGCATTTGGAAGAGAGTGGGTCTATATATATTTATATATTCCGTTCCAGCATTCTCTGAAGATGCCAGCCACAGATGCTGGCAAAATGTCAGAAAGAAACTCTTCTAGAACATGGCCGCACAGACCGAAAAAACCCACAAAAAACTATGAAGCTGCTATTGCTAATATAATTCCACTTCATTGTCGGGACAGTCATGGGATCAGCGCAGTGTAGTGAGAAAGCCTTTTGCACACTTTGTGCTTTCTGGACAGGATAAAGACGCCCATCCCCGTGTGATAAAGTCCCTTCTGTGCGCAAGGGTTCACACCTTTTGCTCCTTGGGGCAGCTTCTCGCCAGAGTTTCAGGGCTCCTCACCTGCTTCCTCCTCTCATTTCTGCCTCCACTAACTCATCCTCTCCTCTTTCCTCTGACCACCGGCAGCGCCGCCTTCCCCGCCTCTGCCCGGCGTCACCCCCATTCAGATAATTCCTCAATCCGTTCGCACCCCACCCGCCGACAAAGCCAAGAAAATCCCACCCCCCATTCTGCCCAAGCCGCGCAAACCAAGTTAGTAGTGCAAGCCTGGCACAACCTGTCCTGCGCCTGCAATTCCCTGCATGGCACGGCTTGGCACTGGCATGGCACTTCCCGCCCCGGTTCGGTTCGGTTGGATCGGTTCCTTCGTTCATGGGATGGAAATATGATTTAAAGGTGTGTTTGGGGTTTGGAAGACAATGTTCAGGTCTTACAAATAGCCCTCGCACAGGGTGACCAGATCTCCTAACCACGAAGGAGGACAAAGCACCACCAGATGTTGGGCATCCAAGAAAAATGTAGGCAATTACAACGTAAAAACTAAAAGCACTCATATAAATTCGTTTTGTATGAATTATTTACAGCTGTATTATATATATATTGTATTTTATTATGTACACAACTGTATTTTTCTGAGGAAGTTATTAAATTGCCTTGTTGGCTTGCAGAACTTGCAGAACTCTCAGCAAGACAAATGCGTAAAATTGTACTTTACCAGCCACAAACCCTCGACTGAATCTACACTTGGCCCTCCACATTTGTGGCTTTGACTTTTCCGGCCTTGATTAATATATTCTCTCTAGGAGTCTCCAGGTCCTCCAGCACAATTCTGCCAGAGGTTGACCATAGAGTTGGGCTGGAGAATCTAGAAGTTCCTAGAGAAAACACTTCTCTAGGCATTTGGAGGTCTTCCAGCATGATTCTAGGATCAACATCTGGCAGATGTTGACCACAGACTCACACCAGAGGACCTGGAGATTCCTAGAAAGAATAGTGTTTTTTATTTGTGGGTTTTTCCAGATTCATGGGGGGAACCCCAGCAAATGTGGAAGGACCACCCTACATTTAAATTATTCCTTTCATTTGTCCATTGTGCTGAAGGGAAAAAATACTTTTCAATATTTGCATTGTGTCCTGAAGCAGCCCATTGCCTAACACCTTTTCCTCTCCTTTCCCCCTCCAAATGCACCCTGAGTTCTGGGTGCAAGTCTTGTCTGCTGGGAAAAAAGGACTTTAGAAGGATCCATTCTGTTCCTCCTGTTTGCAGCGAGGACAGGCTGCCAAGAGGACCCATTTCTCAAAGGGAACAGCAAACATGGTGCTACTCAATGGGCCTCTTAGTCAAGCTCAAAATGGAGGTTGAAATGTAGGACATGTCCTGGAAAAGGAGGATGTCTGGTCACCCTGCCTTGCAAGACCTTAGCAGCTCAGCTGATGTTATTGCCAACCCTCTTCTGCGCAAGAGCAGTCTAGGAACTCAAAAGTCAACAAAAGAGTCCTGTGGAGAATAGCTTTATTATGACAGGAGCAAAGTGCAAAGTTTTGCCAAAGGTGTCTGGCAACAGAGACAGATCTGCTTTGATTGATTTGGACCCAGCAGCTCAGGTTCTGCAAGGCTTATGTTAAATTAGTACAGAGTGTTGTGGGTCCATCTGGCAAGCTCAGCTCTTGCAAAAATGAGCTTTTGCTGCCAACTGGCTTTGGCAGTGAAAATTGCAATGAAGTTTGAAATTGTCCACAAGAAAAGCAAAATCGGATCCCAAAGAAGGGGTGGGGGCCGGCAGGATGGGCAGCTTCTTCTCAGAGCTTGGAAGAGTTACTTATCACAACTCCTAGCATCCCTCAGCTAGGGTGGCAAAGGGATTTGGGGATGTGTAGTCCCAAGAAAGTAACTTTCCCAGGCTGTGTTTCTTCTTCTGAGAGTGAGGGTGATTGCAGTGCTCCTTTGCCCTTGGGATGCTCTGGGAATTCTGTGTGGTGCATGGCATTGTGTGCGTCTTCCTTATCGAATCCCATTCTGTCTTTAGCCTTTTCCACGCATCACTTGTGTGAGCCTGAGAAACGTATGAGAAGGGACTCCTGCACAGAGGCCCAGCATGCTCAACAGATGAGAAAGCTGGGCCAAAACTAACAAAATGGATTCCAACAGGGAGAAATGTAGGATACTACTACACCTGAGCATTAACAATGAAATGCCCAGATATCGGATGTGGGACACCTGACTTAATGGCAGTACATGCAAAAGGGATCTAGGAGTTGTAGTGCACCCCAGGTTCATAGAATCATAGAGTTGGAGCTTCTCAACATCCTTTTCGAATTGTGGTGCCCAGGACTGGACGCAGTATTATTCCAGGTGAGGCCTAACGAGAGCAGAATACAATGGCATTATTACTTTCCTGGATCTAGACACTATCATTCTATTGATACAGCCTAGAATCACATTGGCCTTTTTAGCTGCCGTATCACACTGTTGACTGATGTTCAACTTGTGGTCTATTAGGACTCCTAGGTCCCTTTCACATTTAGCCCTGTTAAGCCAGGTGTCCCCCATCCTATATCTAGGCATTTCATATTTTCTGTTTTAAGTGCAGTACCGTACATTTCTCCCTGTTGAAGTTCATTTTATTAGTTGAACATGACTGGCTGGGCAGGTGGGCAAGGCAGCAGACTCCCCCTTCCCTGCATGCCAGACCTGGAAAGGTGAGGCAGCAGGAGGTAAGGGAGGACAGGACAACACTTTGCAATGGTAGCATCCTATTATTATTATTATTAGGACCCAGAGTGGCTTAGAACTGGGACTCAGAGTGTCTCAACAATATTAAAAGAATGATACAATTAAAAACATAGA